GACCGACCTCACCACACCTGTGCATGTTATGGAAGAAAAAATTCCGGCACAACATCATTGCAGAATGCACCCACACCTTTTACAACTCCTTCTCTGGAATTGCGAAATCAATGAAGTGAGTCCTCCACCTGCGCAGTCACAGCAGAAGTGTTTATATCCACAAGATTTATTTGTATAAAGCACTTTGATCCGAAAAATACCAACCTTACTGAAATTATCTAGCTGTGTGGTGCGATTGTGGCGCAGGCACAACTTGGTTCAATCTCTAATACAAACAAGTTAAGAATGTATAGGTCAAGAATAAGAGGTGGTGGTTTCCTCTTACTGAGACGAACCACTATTTGTTTTTGACAACCCATATTGTGTCGTGGGTGGACAAAAACCATGTGTAATAAATGAGATACAATGTTAGTAAAGTTAATGAATTAGTAGAAAATGAATGATGAGAAAAGGAAAATGTTTTTGTCAATCCTTGAATCTCATCAGTGAGTAGGGTTGCCAAAAACAAAAGCCCACCTTTACGGGTTGAGGTTTTGTCTCCTCGTAATGGCCAGTAAACTTTTGATCCATCTTTCGGTTTCCTGGCAATGTTGCTGCATCTTTTCACCGCTCTCCAGTTCATATTTTTGAAGATAGAAACATTAAATTACGGCGACGCTGATTTCAAGAGGAAATACTGTTTGGGACAGCCCTCATAACTCTTCTCTAATCATTTATAGAAACCTTTTGTGGATGTTCAGAACTTGTAGAACATCTGAAGACATAGGAACCCTTCAAATATCTATAAATGAGGCAAGGGATTCTTGAAGTGTTCGCAATGGCTCAGGAACGGAGCCGAGCACCGCGAGATGCATGAATCACCTCTTCTTCACAGGACTAATACAGCATCAAAAATTTAGTTTGATTGGGTTTGTGACAAATACTCATTTTCACAGGCCGCTTCATTGCTTCTCATTGTCATTTCTCAAGGTGACCTTATAATTATGAAACGTTGCAGAAGCAAAAAAAATTAAATTATAAAAAAGCTACAAAAAAAAGCTGTTCTTCTCCAAAAACGGCCAGTCATGGTGAGGAATCAGCTGATAATCCTGGAAGTATTCCCAGTCCTCTATTTGTTCCGGAAATTCAAAATTTGAGGGTGACCTGATTAGGGATTCCTCCGCGATTAGGCGCGCTCGCCTGTTCCATCCCGGGGGTAGTAGGCAGGCGGACAAGTGTTGATGTCGCGCCCCTTTTGCCGCTTGAAAGTGCGCGACAAAGGCGCAAGGAGCTCGTCCGACCCGCAACTCACACCTTCGTCCGCAAGCCCCACCCTCCGCTGTCGGTTGCCACGTGGCGCTGCTTGAAAAGCGCGGGCGCATTTGAGGCAGCGGTCCCATTGCGACCCAATGTCATTGGCACTGGAGCAACTAGAGTTAGGTTCGTGAAACTCGTCCAACGCGCCCCTTCTCTATCCCAAGGTGGAATGCGGCTGAAATAGGGGAGGTCTCTGTACGGGGCGTAATCGGTGGTTTCGTTTGCTTTTCCAGACCACCTCCCACCTCTAGCTTCATACTAAACGCTTTTCCATAACTAATTTGTCCCGAATCTTGCCTTTAAGAAATGCACTGCATATTCTTCTGTGTAATTGGACTAATATTCAAAGGGTTCTATGCTAAGAAACGAGAAGAGCTAGGTGTTCAAATCATTCTTAGCCGAATGACAGGATGAGTGAAGAGGTTGCCGATAAGGATATTGTGTAAATGCTTTCAAGCATTGATATTGCCTTATTCCCTTTTATATTGCACCAAGCCTTCATTTCAGTGGTTCGGCGATCTTGTCACGCTGAAATGGTGGGATAACCTGTGGTTGAACGAAGGTTTCGCTTCATTTGTGCAATACATTGGAGTCAACGAAATAACCCACAAAAATTTCAGAATGGTAGGATATCAGATAATAAGTTACAAGTGCCCATTTCAACAACCTAGAACAAGTAAAAGTTGGTCGTGAAATCTTTCAGGAGGACTTTTTCTTGGTGGAAGCATTCGCACAAGGCATGGAAGCTGACGCGGTAGCTTCAAGCCATCCGCTATCGTTCAGAATTGACAAGGCTCCAGAAGTTGCTGAGGCATTTGATGATGTCACCTATCGTAAAGGAGCATCTGTTCTCACAATGCTGCAGGCTCTGGTTGGTAAAGAGACCTTCAAGAATGCCGTGACGGTAAGTCGACGGTTTTTCAACAGCTGTTCTCTTTGACTCTCTAAATGACAATTTTCCTGAGAAAGTTTGTCTAAGCAATTCTCAAAAACAACAAGACTTACTTAGACTTAGTTCCTCCCGTGCTGGAGAGCACATCGGGCGACGAATTCTTTCCACTGTTGCCGATCTTGTGCAATCATTTCTCCTTCATTCCTAGAAACATTCATGATCTTGAAATCATTCTCGAACGTTCGTCTCCACGTGTTTCTGGGACGGCCTCTTCCTCGCTTGGCGCCTGGAGGTATCCAGTTCATGGCCACCATTGGAACTCGTTGTTATGTCATGAGCAAAACAACAAGACAAAAATAAAATTGTATTTCGAGCTTTCTATGCAGAACTCTACACACCGTTTCCGCCGATAAGTTCAAATTTGTGGCCATTTTGTCGTGGTCCTCACCTAATCGCGGTGGATACGCTTCTTGACAGTATTCACAGCTCCCCTTCGGCTTCTTAAGCGATCGACCTCTGTGAGAGAGACCACTGTGCGTACTACAGTAAAGGATGGTATGACGATCTAGCGATGTACCCTTAAAATACGGCAGATCTTGGAAGGAATCCACCCTTCAGCACGCGAGACTGGATCTTCCACTCTTTTCAATTAACTGAGACCCTCCATCAAGCAATAAAGACTATGAAACCATTGAATCACATATAAAGAACATTGGCAAATCTGAAGGAAGATTCACAGCTCTGCTCGTGGTTCAGTGAATGAATTTGTTTAGTCTTGTCACCGTACTTATGCCCTCCCCACCTTGTAGAGAGAGTATACAAAGTTTTGGCCATGAACACTGAGAAGTCCGAACGGAGCACATCTCCAGAAGCCACCCTAGCTCTCGGATTTGAAGAATAGAGACAAAACAAGGGATACATGACGATGCAATTGGGATGCCCCAGCCATAGGTGAAAAGGTCGAAAAGATTGTTTCGTGAAGGCACTATCAGAACCAAGGTGAAAAGGTTGCCCCTCCCCTCCACATCCTCTCCCTCCGTCTTCATTTGGGAAATTTGTCTGGTAGGAATTGAAGATGGTGACAGTCTCTTGTTTTTTCGGATTGCTCACCAAAACACGCAATTCTTCCGATAATTCCCCAATGAGGATGGTCTCCAATTGTTTATGGGAGAAAAGATTGAGGTTCTTTCCGTTCACCAGTCGTGTGAGCAGCCACCAGGTTCCATTCGGCAGCTAGTTCTTCCAGCCCGCGCCCCAGCTTTCCTCAGCTCCTTTCTTTTTATATTATATATTACTTAATATTTGTTAAAATTTGTATAGCTCAATGTGTGACTGCCACTCATTACACCATCAAGTGAAAGCTTAGCACAAGCTTCTTTAAAAAAACTCGGAAGGTAAATTCTGATTCATTATTGAGAAGGTAATTTCAGCAATACCTCAAGAAATTTTCGTTCAACAACACCCAAGCTTCTGATCTGTGGGAGGTTTTCGACAAAGTTGTAACGAATGTCACGGGTCCAGATGGTAGCCCTTTGAAAACCACTGAACTTGCTAACCAGTGGACTACACAGGTTCACATTATATTATCGTATTATTTTAATATTTATATTTTCATTTTTTATTTTTTACTTTCGTTTTTATTTTTAATTTTTCACACTTATATTTGAGGTGCAGTAGAAATTTCACTTTTCTTCCACTTGGTAACTATTATAAAAGGTTCTGCGAATGTTTTAGATGGGCTATCCTAATGGTTACTGTGGAAAATTTCAACTCTACTTCTCTGAAAGTGTCTCAAACCCGGTACAAGATAAATAAGGATGCTCTGGAGTTGGAAAAGTACCGCCATCCAAAATATGGGTTGGTCCCCTTTCTGCTAGAGTCGAATAGTATTTATAGTCGGTTGATTCTTGAATGGAAATTCTTTTGACTTCCGCTAAGACAGCTATGTTTACAGGTTTAAGTGGGATATTCCTCTGTGGTATCAGGAAGGAACTAACAAAGAAATAAAACGAACTTGGCTTACCAGAGGTAGGTGATGTTTCTATATGTTCCCATCGCTGGATATTCCTCTCATTGAGGCGAGTTCAGAAGCGACAGACAAAAAACGCAAAAGAGTTCTCCGTAATAGCAGGTGCTAAGAAAAAGAGATTCTACGTAGCTTACATACATAGTATAAAACTGAATTGAATTGCCAGCTTTTGCGTAAGGTAACTGATTTGACGTGCTGGGGTACCCGACAGGAGGCCCGTCGCGCGGCAGAAGGCAGAGTCAGCGGACGAGTCGTAGCGCGCGATGTGCGATTCAAGAACCTCCACGCGTACGCATTGATAGAACAAAGCCGGACAAAAATACGATTCACATACACCTCAAAATCGACTTCACTGCCTTTTTCGGCTTGTATCTGCCAGCCTCTGAGAGTTAAGCGGCCACTCTTCGGTTGGTCGTTGGCAACAAGTCACTGATAGTGATGGTGCATATATTGATGATAGATAATGCATGTATTGAAATAGAGTAGGCTCGAAGAAGTTCAAAATATGCACGATCTTTTGAGATAGCCTAATACTTTTATTGAAGAAAAAAAAGGAAATTGCAGAAATTTTTGACTCGCATAATTATAAGGTTGATATAGGTCCCATAAGTGGTGCCGTTTTTTTTCAAACGAGAAATTTTCTGGCGAAATCCCATGTTTATATCGTGTTATATACCATTCGAAAGAGAATTGTCTGCTCTACAAGATGCTATGTTCCACTTCCACCTCTTCCATTTTCAAATTTTAGGCCTGCGAAATGGGAGGTCCAGCCGACAAAAATTGACCAAACCGACAACTAGCTCTAACTTTATTTTCCCTTCGGAGAAATCAATCAATGATGTACCCTCTACTTACTCATGACCTCTTCTAAACATTCCACTAATTAGGTTGTTGAAAAAGATTTGCCGTGTTTCTTATGAATTTTGTTTTTCCTGCTGAGCGATAAGTCATAGCGATTTTTCAACTGAAATTCTCCCTCTGTTTATATCAATTGGTATATCATTTTGTGAGCACTTTTCTGCTCTATTCGCTCATTTGTTTTGTTTTATGTTTGTTGTGGAATTAGTCGAATTTTAGGTTTAGGATAAGGTGTTTTATCCACGAAAGTGACCGCATTTCTTTGAAAAAAATTTCCTGGAGAAGATGAGAAAATCAACCAGGCGTACATTCCTAACTTAGTCATGACTTGTTCTTAAAATTCTACTAGTTTTTCAATGTCTCGGCTGTAAAAAAATTTCGCCTAGATCTCAAGTAATGGTGCTTGACCGTCGAGTTCTGGTTGAAAAACCAGGTCTGAAAAGGAGCGACGCGACTTGAGTGGAAGCCTAATAGTGGGATGTTCAGAAGAGGTCGTGACAGACCAGGAAAGGCATTCAACTTCCCATGGAACTTTGAGATGAGACCCAGATATATCGATAGAGCTTCAAACGCTGATTACAAATATGGAAACTAAAACTGCAAAATGAACCTGCCAAGAAGTTGTGAGCAGGTTGAGCACAGGGTCAAGCGAGGCGTTGAGGAAAATTTGGAAATACGACCCCCCCCCCCACCACCCTCCGCCGGAGGCCGAAGTCCATGAAACAACCCTCTTCAAAAGCCGAACTATGAAAAGGTTGAAAAGCTTGTTTAATTCTCCCCCAAAACTGCTCATAAAAAAGCCCTGCTACCCCACCGCCCATGGAGTCCTACCAAACGAGCAAACGAGAAACAGACCAGAAAACGACAAACTAGCCACTAAAAATGGCATACTATGACAACATCTGTTCTTTATTTATTTCCTCCACAAGACTTACCAAATTCTAGTACTACACAGATTGTGGTTCTCAATTTGCACGTAGCCCTTCAGTTGAAAGAAGCTTTTTAACCGCCTTCGCCAGCTGTGTGTTGACTGGACTTTGGCGTTGACCGTGGAGCAGCTTATTTACTATTGAAATTTGAACAAATATTCAAATGATTATAACTTTCTTCAAATTAACGAATTTTCAATCTGAAAGCTGATTTGGGAGTTTTGTGAAGAGCTTTTTCTAATCAGTATAAATTACAAAAAGTTATAAGAAATAACAAATTTAGGTCAATTAACGAGGAAAATTCGAGATGAGCACGAGTTTTTACACTTTCCGAAGCAACAACTTGCTTCATTTTCGTCAAATTCGAAAAGTTAATATGGCAGACAAAACTAGAAGATTTTCTCTACCAAACCATTGCTAAAGCAGCTCTATACGTCCAGTATTCAAAAATGGCCACGTTGAGGATTTTTGCAAAATTAACGAGGAAAATTTGTGATGTGCGAGTTTTTACTTCCTAAAGCCATAACTCCGTTCAAACTCATCCAATCCGAAAAGTAAATACGCCATCATAAACTAGAAGATTTGCTCTATCAAATGCTACTAGAACTGCTCCAAACGTCCAGTATTAAAAAAACGGCTACGTTGAGGATTTTCGCACGAGTACCGCCGAAAGGTACTTTTTCGCTACATTGGCACTATTTCAACGGCTGTATATCCTTTTAAGGGCGATTATGTACTAAAGTAAGAGCAGATTTGGAATCACTGCTTTTCTCTTTCTAAGAAAAGTGATTGATTAGCGTTTCTCAACTTTAAAGGTTACATGTTTATAAATTTAACCCTGAAGAGTCCGTTAACGCAATGTTGAATGGTGTACACCTCCCTGTAAATGCGCACGGACACTTTCAGAATTCTCTCGATTGTTCCTGAATTGAGGTTGTTTGTCCAAGGAGCCGTAGTTGAAGCGCGCGCAACAACTAGACCCTTTCTCGGATGCGCCGTGTACCTCTCACATCCCTTCAGATTCGGGGTCTTACTTGAAAGATGAAATATCTCTTGGAAAGCGTGCGAAATTCAGATTCTTTAACTTGTGTGGTGATAAAACACTGAAGTAACTAAGAATTACCGGACGCCTCAGAATCACGAAAATTTTGTGTGGGTGAAATATCATTTTCATTGGAAATCCTCTGGCCTGGCATCGACTCATCCTTGATATTTGTCTTCCGACGGTGATGATCCCACTGCATCAAAATGGCTCGATCTCTTCCACCCAGCGGGCCAATACGACCCCCCCCCCTGCGACGTGTCGAGGATTCCTCAACGCACGCTTGACCCTGGTTAGCACAAATCTCAGAGGGATGTGAAGTAAAGATTACACTAAGCCCCGGCTTTAGAGTCGTCGCAAAGCATGGTGTGCCTTCCGCTATTTATCCTGAGGTCATTAAATTCTTCTCCCGTTATAGCAAATTGCGGAGCACCTACCACTTCTCCACGCGACTTTGAAAGGCGATGACCACCACTGTAACATCGCTCTACCCTCCACACAACAGCCAACTTTGACTGCTCACAACTTCCTTGGCAGTTTCATTTTGCAGTTTTAGTTTCCATATTTGTAATCAGCGTTTGAAGCTCTATCGATATATCTTGGGTCTCATCTCAAAAGTTCCATGGGAAGTTGAATGCTTTCCCGGTAAGTTGAGGGTTCACTGATGGTTGATTCCTCCTCGGTGAAAATAGAGTGAGGGCTAGTTGTCGGTTTGGCTAGTTTTCTTTGACTAGACCTCCTATTCTGCAGGCCTAAAATTAGAATATTCTGCATCTAATGTGGAAGCGAAACATAGCCTCGCGTATGTAGAGCAGACAGCTTTCTTTCGACGGTATAAAGAGGCATAAAAACATAGGATCTTGGCAGAAAACGTTTAGTTTGAAATTTAAACGACACTACTCATGGAACAATTGTCCACATAACTGTTATAAATGGAGCGTATAGACTTATGTTTCTTTCTGGTAATACAACTTCAGCTTGCTTTTCAGAAGAGCCGCTTTATCTCCACGTTGGTGATCCTGCAGCGAGCATTGTTGTCAATGCTGATCGGCATGGATTTTATCGGCAAAACTACGATAAGGAAGGCTGGCAAAAAATTATCAAACAATTCAACGAAAATCACAAGGTGCTTTGTGATGATTGCTTCCTTCATAACTTATAGCGACACAACAGTGTTTTCACTGGGTAGCGTTGGAGAAGTTTGTTCTGTTAGTAGTTCTAGTTCTCAGCACGCTGTAACCGGCGCTACGCGATGGATGGCGTACCTCGGTTCTTCTGGAGCTACCTATATGTCAACTATGAAGCAGACATCGGCCAATCGCTTAAATTGATTCGACGTTTTCCTTGTGTTTTCGAAATTCGGCACAAGAAGATCTTTAAAGCGAGGGATTACGATAAGATTGGACTGGGTTCATAGTGGAAGTGGGATGCTGAATAATGCCCCAGTGGCGAAAAAAGCAAAGAAATCCGTCAAGAACGCGCAAAATGGGACCCCTTTCTTTGCCCGTTGACCTCCGATAATGGACGAGCTAGCAACCAATAAGAGGTCGTTTGCACATGTTAAACCGATAGCCACCATCATACCAGCAAAGGCCATGCTTTGATTGGTAACGCGTTCCATGGGAAAGTTATAGGATACGCACTCAAAGCGGAATACCTCAAAATGATAATCGAAGGACGCTGCTGCTGGGGGCGGAGCACAGGCCGTGGCGGAGCTCAGAAAGGAATGGCAAGCCCAGTACGCTGTAGCTA